ATTTGATTTCTGGCGGAAATTTAATAGATGAAATATATGGATTGTCAATAAATCAAAATGATGTATCTGTTTACTCATCATGCATACTTTCATTGACTAATTCTGAAGTGTTAGATCTAAATGAACGTATTTTGTTAAAATTAGAAGGACAAGAAGTAGTTTATTATAGTGTTGATTCACATGTCGATGACGACCCAAAAGATGTAAATAATATTATTCCAATAGAATTTTTAAATAGTTTGACACCAGATGGTTTACCTCCTCATAAATTATCTTTAAAGGTAGGATGTATAATTATGCTTTTGAGAAATATGAATTTAGTTCAAGGATTATGTAATGGGACTCGATTAGTTGTAAAATCATTATTGAGAAACGTAATTTCTGCAGAAATAATTTCTGGAAAATCTAAAGGTGAAATAGTTTTTATTCCACGTATTGATTTATCTCCTTCTCAAGACACATATCCTTTCAAAATGGTAAGAAGACAATTTCCTGTTAGACTTGCTTATGCCATGACTATTAATAAATCTCAAGGACAATCTTTTGATAGAGTAGGAATTTATTTACCAATTTCAACATTTGGTCATGGTCAAATTTATGTTGGTTGTTCTAGAGTTAAATCCAAGGAACATCTAAAAATTCATGCTATTGATTCTGCTATATATAAAAATATAGAATTTCCTGAAAAGTTATATGTGAAGAATATTGTATATCATGAAATATTGTAATGTTATAATTCTTTAAATAATAATCTTCGATTTCATTCATTCATTCATTCTGTCCGCAGCCCCATGCTGTTTTCTCCTTAAGAGAGAAAGAGAACTTTTACCTTTGGGTGTAGAGAGAGAGAGAGAGAAAATGAGCTCGCTTTATTCATTAGAAAAGGAAAGATTGCAGTTGATTATCTTGAGTGGGGAGAGAAAAATTTCATATATATAGATATATTAATATAATATAATAATAATGCCCTTTCACTGATTGGTTTATTAATTTTCTTCTTGAGAGAGAAAGAGAAGTTTTAGCTTTGGGTAGAGAGAGGGGGAGAGAAAAAAGGAGCTCGCTCTATCCATTAGAAGAGGAAAGATTGCATTTGATTGTTTTGAGTAAGGAGAGGGAATAATATTATGTTGTCCTTTAACTGATTTGTCTCTTCTTAAGAAAAGGAAAGTTTGTATTCAAGCATTATGGTTAGAGAGAGAAGTTAATTGCCTCAAAGGTTACTTCAAAATCAAAACAAATGAGTTGTTATCTATCTATTATTTAAAGACCTTTTCAAGAATGGGTTTATAGCCAGGTACCTGAATTGTGGAAAAATTTATTAATTTTTGAAACTTTATTACTTTAGTTGCGTTCGTCCTCTCAGATGAAGAGGATTGTGAAAAACGAAGGAAAATTAATAAAAAGTAATGATAGTGATTAAATAAATATCAATTAATGAAAATATATTAAATATATTAATTAGAAAACTATGAAAGTGTGTAAAAAAGTGCTTAAAATTTTTTTTGACGAAGTGAAAATTGTGATTAAAATTAAAAATTTATTGTGTTTAAAACATATTGTGACCGAGTGATTAAAGAACCATGTATTGTTAAAAAAAGTTTTAGTGTAAAAAGTCGTTAAGGAAAAATTTATTGATTTTTATAAATTGAAAATGTGTTATAGTTGATAAAAAAGTTATTGTTCTTAAAGAGATTTGTGACTAAGTGATAATTGTGAATGAAATTAAAAAAATTTGTGTGTTTAAACAATTTTGTGACCAAGTGTTTGAAAAAAAATGTGTTGTTAAAAAAATTTATGTATGCAAATTGTTAAAAAAAATTGTTAGTTCGAAAAATTAATAATCATATAATTGTACATAAAAATATAAAATATAAAATAATAATTTTTTTTTATTTGAGAAGTGTTTCCGTGATTATAAAAATGTTAGTGAAAAATAGTCTGTTCTAATTATTAAAAATTGTTGGTGATTAAAAAATTTGTGAAAAATTAAATACAGTAGTTAAGTGAAAATTTACAATAAAAAGAAAAGATGTTTTTAATGCGAAGTACAACTTTAAAAAGTTGAAAATTAATTGGATAATTAGAAAAATTGAAATTAGACGGGATAAAATGGAATAGCAAATGGGAAAAATAAAACTGAGGGGCAAAAATAGAATGACGTGGAAAATAAATTTTGATGGGTAAAAATGAAATAATGTATGGAAAAAAAGATATTGGACAAATGAAATAAGACATGAAAAGAAATATTTATATGATATTGGACAAATGAAATAAGACATGAAATGAAATATTTGATGATTGAAATGAAATGAATATAGAAAAAAAAGGAAATGAGATGTACAAAAATGGAATGAATACATACATATTAAAATTATAATTTTTATGATCTTAAAATCAAAATATTTATGAAAAATGGAAATGAAAATTGAATGAAAATTTTAAGAATGATAATGAAAGAGTAAATTAAAAATGAAATAAAGTTTTTTAAAGTAATACTAGATCATAGAAAAATACACTAATAATACTACTAGATTTAGAAAGTACAAATACAAATACAGTATAAAATATTGTAACTATGTCAAACAGGGAAAGGAATAACGTTAATTTAAGTGATAAAGATTATGCTATTATTCTCAGTGAGGGCGAAATGCTCAATGATAATCATATGCACGAATTTGAAAAGTTATTGAGAAGAGTTTCAAATTATACTTTTAATATGCAAAGTACGTTGCTTTTAAATACACTAGAATTAATTCTTCCTATTGAAAAAAAACAACAGCATATTCAAATTTTATTCAGTGGATGGCACGAATCTGGTCATTGGATTTGTACATATTATGATGGTACAAGTCTTTATATTTATGATAGTGTAAATAATGGATGTTTGAATCATCATCAAAAAGATTATTTGTGTAAATTGTATCCTTTCGAACCACCAGTTGTTTTTGTGGCTGTCCAGCAACAACCGAATGGTACTGATTGTGGATTATTTGCAATAGCATTTGCCACTTCTGTATACTTTAATATGTTGCCAAATAATATTGATTATATTCATTCTGAAATGAGACAATATTTGTATTTAATATTTAAATATAATTATTTGTATCATTTTCCGTCAGAAGAATCGTCTGTTGTAAGATCTATAATTCTCGAACCTAATTGGGGACGTCTTTTTGATGATCGATCTGAAAATTTATTAGTTACAAAATCTAAGATTCTGCATATTCTTAATGATGAAAACAAAGTATTATCTACTGAGAATACAATGATCGAATTTCCCTTGTATGAGGAAAATGAGAAAAAGAGTAATCGTGCAATAAAAGATATAGAGAGAAAAAGAAAGATAAGGTTTGAAGAAACAGTAGAACAAAAAAGAAAACGACAAGAAGAAGATAAACAAAGAAAGCGAAAACGTGAAGATACGGATATTGTAAAGAAAGAGCGTCGAGAAAAGAATTTGTTATGCAAAAAAATAAAACTATCTTTAGAAACAGAAATTGAGAAACGAGATCGTGAAGAAAAGAATTTGTTATGCAAAAAAATAAAACTATCTTTAGAAACAGAAATTGAGAAAAGAGATCGTCAAAATAAAAATTTAATAAGTAAAAGAAAACAATTATCTCTGGAAATGGATGTTGATAAGAAAGAGCGACGAAGAAAAAATGTATCATGTAAATATAGTAAGCAAAATAGGAAGACGTTAAAAATATGAAAAGTTGCAATGACTTCTTTTGAAGATTTTGATGAAAATAGTGTTTTACAAAATTATTTAGGTTTGATGAATGTTAAGTGTGAGTTTTGTAGTTCATTAAATTTTTTGTGCGAAAGGCCGCAAGACAAAAAATTTAGTACATGTTGCCATAAAGGGAAAGTAAAATTAAATGAACTAAATCCTTATCCATTATATTTAAAAAGTTTATTGAGCAATTCTAACTCGGAAGGTAATAATTTTAAAAAAAATATTCGTTTTTATAATAGTTCGTTAGCTTTTGCGAGTATGGGTGCTAAATTGGAAATTCCAAAAGGATCTGGTCCGTATGTTTTTCGAATTCACGGTCAAGTATATCATTGTACATATTCTTTACATCCGAAAGATGATGATAGACGTAAATATGGTCAATTGTATGTCATTGATTCAAATGAAGCTGTTCAAGAACGATTGAAAAACAAATGTAATGAAAAAATTCTAAGAGTATTATTGGTGGAATTAGACCTATTACTTCGAGAGATTAATCCATATGCTAAAGCATTTAAAATGATGCGAGAAGTAGAAATTGAAGAGGAAGCAAGAGCAAAATTATTAAATAAGCCTCCTAGAAAAATTGAAATGTGGATTAAACGCGATAGATCATTGAATTAAAAGAAATTTAATCTTCCGTCATCTGATGAAGTAGCAGTTATATTTGTAAGCGAAGATGGTGAACCACCCATGGAACGAGATATATGTATATATCCAAAGAATTCTGAAAGTATTCCAATTTCCAGTCTTAGTGCAAATGTTGATCCTATGACGTATCCTTTAATGTTTCCTTCAGGTGATCCTGGATGGACTGTTAACATCAAACATATTAAAGGTAACCGTAATGTTACTCCTTTACAGTTTTATATGTATCGACTTTCATATAGAGGCACTTTTAATCCATGTTTAGCATTAGAAAAATTAACTCAACAATATATAGTTGACATCTGGTCAAAAGTAGAAGGTGAGCGTTTAAAATACATTCGTTTAGAACAGAAAAAACTTTGAGCAGAAATGTATTGTGGATTAATGGATTATGTTAATAATAAAGTTAAAGAAGAGAATGTTCGACCAGGAAAAATTGTTATTTTGCCTTCAACATTTACTGGAGGGCCACGTTCCTATCAACAATCTTTCATGGATGCTATGCGATTAGTTCAAGAATTTGGAAGACCAGATTTATTTATTACCATGACTTCCAAAATGAATCCAAAATGGTGGGATTGTAGCCAGAGTTTTTAGGAGAAAAGTACAAGAATTAATGAAAGAAATAAAAGATGAAGAAATTTTTGGTCCAGTTATTGCATTTGTTTATGTAATAGAGTTTCAAAAGCGTGGATTGCCTCATGTGCATTTCATTACATTTTTAAGTGAAAAGATCCGTGATACTGAAACTGTAGATAAAATAATATGTGCAGAAATACCAGATGAAATAAAGAATCCTGAGCTATTTAATATTGTAAAGCAGTTTCAAGTCCATGGGCCTTGTGGTAATCAAAATATAAATTCACCTTGCATGGACTCTGAAAAAAAAATTTGTACGAAATATTATCCGAAGCCATTTTGTTCAGAAACATCTTATCACTCTAAGAATTATCCAGAATATAGAAGAAGAAAAGATGGTAAGCAAATTATCTTTTATAATAAAGATGGATCAATTAAGTGTATTGCAGATAATTCAATGATTGTACCTTACAATCCATATTTAAGTAAAAAATTTGAATGTCACATAACTGTTATGGTATGTAGTAGTACAGGTGGCATTAAATATTTATTTAAATATTGCTATAAGGGCCATGACTGTGCATTTATTGTTTACAAGGATGATAATCAAGAAATGCAATATGATGAAATTCAATATTATTTAAATACACGATATGTATGTCCACCAGAAGCAATGCATAGATTATACGAATTTCCTATGCATGAACAATCACATGCAACATACAGATTAGCTGTACATTTACCTAATCAACAATCAATATGTTTTCAAGAAGGATTAGAGGAAGAAGCCGTTAACAAATTCAAAAACACGACATTGACGGCATGGTTTAAATTGAATGCAGAAGATTCCGAGGCGCGCAAATATTTATATACAGAAATACCTCATAACTATGTTTTTGTTGAATCTTCAAAAACTTGGAAAGTAAGACAACGAATAACTAAAATCTTAATTTGTCGAATGTATTTTGTTAGTCCAAAAGATATTGAAAGGTATTTTCTAAGACTTTTACTACTTTATGTACGTGGTGCTAAGTCATTTGAAGATATAAAAACTTATGAAGGTATTACATACAACACTTTTACAGAAGCTGCACGTGCGAGAAATTTAATGGTAGACGATAACGAATGGAACAATTGTTTGACTGAAGCTGTGAGTATGAAGTTTCCTAAAGAACTTTGTCGTTTATTAGCATACATATGTGTATTTGGATCGCCTGTTAATGCTATTGATTTATGGAATAAATACAAAGAAGATATGATTTTTGAGAATGATTTACCTGTGGAAGTATCGATTCAAAAATCATTAATTCTAATTAATGAAGTATTTAGTTTTCATGGATTTTCGCTCCATCAATTTGGTTTGCCACATATTAATCAGAAAGTTTTTGATGATTATAATTCAGTAAGTAAGGAAAATAGTGCTTTAGAATTACAATTACTTAAAATAAAGTCTGATTGTCTTATTAAAAGTTTGAATGATGACCAACGTAATGTTTTCAATGATATTATGATGGCAGTACATAATGATAATTGTAGTAATAGATATATTTATCTCGATGGACCTGGAGGAAGTGGTAAAAGTTATTTACATAATACAATAATTACAACTGTAGAGAGTGAAGGATTGGTGGTTTTATCAGTAGCATGGACTGGTATAGCTGCGAATCTTTTAAAAGGTGGACGAACGGCACATTCTATGTTTAAATTTCCTATACCAATTAATGAAGATTCAACATGTAATATAAGTGGGATGTCAAAACACAGTGAACTTTTAAGAAGTGCTAAAATCATTATTTGGGACGAAATTACAATGGCACCTAAATATGCTTTACAAGCAATGGAAGTTATGTTGAGGGATATTACGAAATGTAAGAAACCGTTTGGAGGTAAAGTTATTTTGCTTTCAGGAGATTTTAGGCAAATTTTGCCAATTGTTCCACACGGTAGTCGGACTCATATTGTTGAAGTATGTGTGAAAAATAGTAAATTGTGGCATCTTTTTCAAACTAGGTCGTTACACGTTAATGTTAGATTAAATAATAATCAGATAAACTTTTCAAACTGGTTATTAAATGTCGGCGATGGTAAACATCAAAGTACATTTGAAAAGAAAAATAACGTTTTAGAAATTCCACAAGATTTGATTTCGAATGGAAATTTAATTGAAGAAATATATGGTTCATCAATAAGTCGAAATGATGTATCTGCTTATTCTTCTTGCATTCTTTCATTAACAAATTCTGAGGTATTAGATATGAATGATCGTATTTTGTCAAATTCAGAAGGAAATGAAGTTGTTTATTACAGTATAGATTCACATGTAGACGAGGATCAGAAAGACATCAATAACATTGTTCCAGTGGAAGTTTTAAATAGTTTAACACCAGATGGTTTACCACCTCATAGATTATCATTAAAGGAGGGATGTATAATTATGCTTTTAAGGAATATGAATTTGGTTAAAGGATTATGTAATGGTACCCGATTAGTTGTCAAATCTTTATTAAGAAATGTTATTTCTGCAGAAATTATTGTTGGAAAATCTAAAGGTGAAATAGTTTTTATTCCACGAATAAATTTTTAATTTTTTTTAAATAATACACTTTAAATTGTTAGTAAATCTATTATTATATCCTAAAATATAAATAAAATCCAACTATAAATGCATAAAAATGTTTCCTTTAAAAATTGTTCTTCAATGTTTGATGACCGGAAAAATCTCCAATTTAAAAAATTTTTTTTCCTAATTTTTCTCTCATAAAAACTATATTTATTCCAAGTTTAAAAAATTGAAAGACCCATGACTTAAATTAAATTTTTTTTAGAAAAATTGACCCTTGTAAAAGTTTATCTTCCACAATGATAATTACAGGGTGGTTAACTTTGTTTATAAAATGTTTATAACAATAGTAATTATTTATTTCATATTTTTTCTTTAGTATAAAATAAGTATGTGTATAAATAACTTCATAATCAAAATAATAGTAAGGATTAAGAAATCAAAAATAAAATAGGATTGTCCGGCACATGGACCTCAGGCTCGACGCGTTCGTGTAAATACAAAATACGTGCGCTGCAGGACAAAAAGTTGAATACTTTAGTTAGTTTTAAAGTCTCCAGCAATTTTTTTTGAAAAAATTCAGGAGAAGATAAGGAATTTAAATATCATGAATAGAAAAAAATCGAAGGGGTGCTTATGCCCGAAAAAGTGGAATCAAAATTTTTTTTTACTTTTTTTGGGGCAATTTCCGAATTTTTTTTTTGTTTTCTATTGCATTAAAATTATCAATAAAACAATTATTAGTCACATAAATATGAACAAAATCGATTAAAACGTCTCAGAGCTATGCATTTTTGAAAAAAATTATACTCAAAACTTCAATGCCCGGTAAAACCCATGACCAACATTGATTTTTTTGAGAAAATTTTACCCAAATTCAAGCATCTATAAACAATTGCGTTAAAATTTTTGCAATTTTTTCTGAATTTTAAATGAAATTAAATATTTAAAACTCGAAGTTTTCAAAGTGAAAATAAAATTCAAAAGGGGAAATTAAGTTTTTTATGTTTAAAAATATATTTTTGATACCAAAAAGCAGAATATCTTTTTAGTAATTTTAGATATTTGTTATACTATACTACTATACTACTATACTATACTATACTATACTATACTATACTATACTATTTTGTGCGGGGTCCTTTAAAGTGAAGTGAAGAGAAATTACAGAATAGCACACCGGATCAGTATTTATATTTTGTATAAGTGTTTGAAATTTGAATGTTTTAATTGGAATATATTAATAAATATGATGATTTCAAGATTATAAACAAAACACCAAAATTTCACGCGCGTTTACGCGCGTTTGTTATAGCTAGTTATAAAATAATAATCTCTGTATTCATTCCTTCATTCATTCACATTTTCTTAGTACTTGAATATTCTCATTATTATTAGATTATATATACATATATATCTGTACTTTGATAATTAGGGTTCCCGAAGGTTTCTACCTGAAATTTGTTTTGTCAAAACAGCTTTCGGTTGAGGGTTCATAAAATAATATTGTCATTAAGGCCACACAGGCCCCCGCTGTAATTGACTTACTCGAGGTCTGAGCCCGGGACAGGCCGATAGAGTGAGGATATACCACTTCCCTTTTCAGGACCCAATCCGTGATCGCTCGATTCGTCCTAACAGCCTTGGGTTGTGGGAAATTTTTTTTATTATTGTATATGCGATATAGATGATAACCGTTTAATCCCCGTGAGTGGAAGTGGTGTATCCATACTTAACTTACCAACATCTATCCCCGAGGACGCCACTCAGGCCTACCGTAATATCTGCCTCACGCGAGAACTTAACATAGGCCCGGATTGGTAGAGTGGGGGTATAACACTTCTCCTCAATGGAGTGAAACGGCTACTGCTGATTTAAGATGCTGATGTAAGTCTACCGTTGCAACAACATTGTAGTAGTGTCGCTAAAAAAGCTTCTAATAGTCTCAGGTAACTTAACTTGATTATTATATAGTTTATAATATTTTTCTGCAATTTGTCGATCAATAACTTACTGCATGTGTTGAATCTTCTTATATTAAATTTTTTTTTTCATTTTTGTATTGGGTCCAAAAAATATATTCCTATTTTTGTATAGTATTAATAATTATATATGTATTTTGAAGATAAAACATTGATTATTGAATAATTTTTTTATGCATAAAATATGGATATTGCATAATATTGGTATAGAAGATATTTGCTTCTTTTGGTTGTCTTAAATGTTTCATATAAAAAATACTTCAATCCATTTAGTTTTTTTGGTATTTGATAACATTGGCATTAAAGATATTACGATTTTGAGGATAAAGAAAGATATTGGATAACATTAGTATTGAATATATTTTGATAATGCAACAAAAATATTGATTGTTTGTTAATAGTGGAAGCTGGCTTTTGGAAAAATTTTTTCGTATTGGATAATTTTGGCATTAAAGATATTTTGATTTTAAGGATAAAAAATGATATTGCAGAACATTAGTATTGAATGTATTTTGATATTGGAAAAAAATATTGATTACTTGACCACAGTGGAAGTTGGTTTTTGGAAAAAATTTTTGGTATTGGATAAGATTGGCATTAAAGATATTTGGATTTTGAGGATAATAAAATATGATATTGGATAACATTGGTATTGAATATATTACGATATTGAAAAAAATATTGACTGTTTGATAATAGAGGATGCTGGCTTTTGGAAAAGTATTTAAATAGATAGAAAGAGGTTTGAATATTGTTTTAAGGGTTGAAGTTGTTTTATGGGTTAAATAATAGTTTGTGAGTTGAATATTGATTTCAATATTAATAAAAAGTGCAGAGGAAAATAAGTTAAATAATAATCATTATCGAAAATAATATAATATGGAAAAAGATTAAACAACGCTAATTCACGTTCATGTAAGACCATCATTGTTGCATTAGTTAGCTGAATTATAGTTAATGAAATATTTTATAGATGAAACACATGTAAGTAAATTTTTTAAAGCAATAAAGTAAAATAAACGACTTGTTTTGAAAATTGGCTTTATCAACAGTTTAAAAGTTGAAGAAGGATACCATGTCGAACATAGAAGAGTATTTTATTTTAAGTAATGAAGATTTTAAAATTATTGAAAATGTAAATGAAATGTTAAATGATATGCATATGTTTAAATTTCAAGAATTATTAAAAAATGATTCAAATTCTTTTTTCATTATGCAAAGTACTTTGTATTTACAAATGCTTGATTTAATTGTTCCAATTAGAGAATGCGATATACATATTCAAATAGTTTTTAGCGGTAATAACAATTCTGGTCATTGGATTTGTATTTATTACGATGGAGTAAGACTTTATATTTTTGATAGCCTTAATGCAGGGCGTTTGAATATTCATCAAATAGAATATTTAATTAGACTGTTCCCTTTTAAACCAACAGAATTTTTTGTAGATGTTGCACGGTGAGCTTGAATACAATTTTAATCAAAAGTTTACTAACTGCAAATTTCTTTGGGAATTTTAAATCTACATATTTTTAGATGTATTTTCCAAAAAAAATTAAAATAATCGGCGTAGGGCTTTTTGAGAAAAACCAATTTTATTATTTTTACAAAAACCTACTTTGCATATTTTTGTTTATGTTGACAAATCTATCAAAATATTAATACCGCAGATGTGAATTCAACAATATCGTAATATTTTTTAATTGATTTCAAACATATGTAAACGATTGTAATTTATAAACAGAATTTTTAAAAACACATTAACCTAAAGTTCTAGATATGTAAACTATTATACTGACACACAGCACGTAAAAGTTTTTTTGGATAATCCGGATGATCAATAGTAACCTTGTTAATCTCCCAAGTAGATTTAAAATCAAAATGGACAGATTCCATTGCTTGCTCACTAAAAAATCCTAAGCCTAGTCCATTTTTCTCGCAAAACTCTTTAACGTGAAAGAAAACTGCATGCACCTTTGGAATGACTTCAATTCCTAATTCCATATAACTTTTTCTAAAAGCTTCTATGTGTTTTTTGTAATTCTTGTCAAGATCATTCCCGAAGCATGAAGATACAACATTTTTGAAGTCATTGAAAACTGTTACATATTTTATCACACCTATGTTTTTCATGCTGCGTAAAATATCCACATTGTTCAAAAGCTTTTTGCACGAATTACCTTTGAATGCTGGTGCACCGTAAGTGATTTCACGTTCCGCGTAACAGGCTTTTGCCCAAGCAAGGGATTCTGTCTCATAATCTTTCAACATGTGAGAAAACAGCGTATTGACCACGCCAAGCATAAGGTGTAATTCCGGCGGTGGAATAATATCCAAATAAACCTTGTCTTTCTCACTCATGAAGAGTGGTGGATTAACGCAGTTAAAAAAATTCTTCGCTTTGTCTTTTATTGCTCCACTTCCACGCCATTTTTCGTAATTTTCCAATGTATTTTGCGGAGATCGGAGAGTGCTACACTTATGAAGTTCGCCTTTTTTTGCATGACACCAGGTGCATGGGTATGTACTACTATGTGACATAATACCAGCTAAAATATTTGCTATTTTAAGGTCAGTTGCAATCGTGCCTTCGAATGAATTTAAACGCAACTCAGACCAAAGTTGATCAACGTTTTCATAATTCTCCTGAGAATTTGGAGCGATTGATAATATAAATAATTTTTTAACCCCGGAATCTTTAAATTTTTTTGCAGAGATGCCCTCATTATAAGTAGAACGCTTGGACTGTTTGATTTCGTTGGTCTGAGTTTGTATTGAAAGGCAAATCTTCAAAAATCCGCCTCCTCCATCTATGCCTAGTTTTAAGACAGGATTTGTAACATATCTCTGATTTTGTACATATTCGAGGAAACCCTGTAAATTGCTACAATATACAACGACTTTAGCATCAGCGGAAATTTCTTTGCCTTTTACTCTCACAAACTCAAAATCTTTATAATCAAAAAAGTTATCAATCGAGTGAGCTTTAGTCGCAAGCTTTGTTTTCAAACCGGACTCAATCACTTTCCTATTACAAGATGC